AAAAAAAAAGAAAACCCAAATATGAATTTATCCTCGTATTTACTCTGTACGTGTATGCGTGTATATATAGGAGAATAAAAGAAAAGTTAAGATCTTAGATTTATTTTTGTTTTGATCTTGGTAAAAGAAAACAACAATAGATGAATATCATCAAATCATTATATATAATTGTTGTATGTTATATCTTCAGATATAAATAGAAAGAATAAAATAGAAAATGTTTGATGATATTAATCTAGTATATCTATTAAGTTCATCTAAACCGATTGAAATAGCTCGTAATCTAAATGATCAACAAATACGTTCGATTTTGCCATCAATGATTTGGCTTGGTTTACAACAATGTCCAAAAAATCATCGTTTAACAATATCAGCACAACTTTTACAAATAGTTTCACGTTTTCATGATATGGATTCTATTATTGAATTATTTGAAGTTGATTTTCATTCATTAAATATAGAAATTAAACGTTTACAAAAAATTAAACAAAAACTTCTAGGAGACGGACAACAAAATAGTAATGCTTTAATAAATCAAGAGATTATTGCATTTGAACAAGCAACAGCTAGAGATAGATGTAGAATTGTAGCACAAATTTTATTTGATGATTATGAAAAAGATGAACAATTATTAACAAGTAAGATTGAATTTTATTGATTTAAACAACTCAGAGTTTTAATATCGTACTCAATAGATAAGTTTAGTTTCATTTCGTTCGCTAAACATACTGATCTGATAGCAGAATTTGTTTAGTTGCATCGAACTTTTGGTTCTAAATATCTGTATACCTTGAGAATGAGCACAAGGATGAAGTTGAAAATGACACGACTCATTTCACCCTTATCTTATCACTGCTACACTCCTCTTCAATCACACCCTCATATTCTCACCTGTTATCTAATTTATGTCCTAGATAAGATTACAATCATCGATCTGTCCTGTAACCTATACAAAATACATGTTTTCTTCTTACATTCCAATGTAATCGAGAGAGAGAATATTCAGGAGTTAAAGATGTATGCACATGATTTACAGTGTAAGACTGAAGAATAGTTAAATGAAAGAAAAATAAAATACCATAAATTATTTGTTATCTGATAATACAATAATCAAATATGCTATAATAATAAGTATTTAATGAATATTGAAAAGGATTTTTATGATAATGATTGTATTTAGAATGTTGATTTTGGAATTTTGAATAGTTAAACCGCAATATTGATAAAAAAATCTGCTTCTTTTGCACTTGAAAAGAACTTTGAAATATTATAGTACAAAAATAGACTAAATGAGAAAATAATTTGTAAAAAACATGTTTCGTATATGAAGATAAAAGAGTAACAGCTGGCTCTATTCGATCGATTAACTGTATTAAAATTTGAGAAAGTAATGTAGTCAACTTCATAGAATCAGTGTATATATTTTGAAGATTGTATTTCATACAAATGCGGGTATTGTCCCGAAATTCGGAGGAAAAAATCCGGAAAATTTTTAAAAAAAGATTCAAGAGTTTATTTACCGCAGAAGCATGTACAAGAAAGAAGAAAAATCATTTGACTTGAAGAGGGGTGACGTACTTCACTTTTTACTAGCTACCAATAAAGAAAGTCCCACGAGATGTTCATCGTATCGCCCTCGAAATATTTAGCAAACAGGACTATGAAAGCTCAAATTCAGTTCTTTCGAATTGGAACTGTCACATTTCTCTTGGCAAGTGTTTTGATTTTAGCTAGAAGATATGTGTATGGATAAAGCATGGATACAACACCCACACTCTCCAGCTATATGTCTGTGTATATTTGCTAATAGAAGTGCAGAGCATAGTACAGTAGAATCGCACTAGGTAGACGATAATTATAGTTGACGTAGACAACCATAAACATTTATGAAAGAATATTATCATTCTCTTCTGTTAGAACGATATCAGCAATTTTCCGGTTTTTACTCTCCGGATTTCAAGATATATTCCAAATGCAGATGAATAAGAATTTTCTAAACTCTAATACTTCACAGTCAATACTTTTTATCATGATTATGTTTATTTAGATAGAAAAACATATTGCACGGATATAAATCAGTTCAAATAAGATACATCAAATCGATTCTATTGCCAAATAATTTATTTATAAAAATTTTTTGTTTTTCTTTCCAAAAGATCTTCTCGATGAATCAAATCATGTTCGAATTGTCGGTGATGTTATCTGTGTACTTGTCTTACATTTATCTCATTCATTTAAATTTGATATTCTCATCTCTAATCTTCTCCATTCTAAATATGCATATGAATATTTAATTCGTCTTATTCTCAATGTCCCAACATTAAAATTAACCTTAGCTGAACTTATTGTACGTTGTTCATCGAATGATGAAACACGTTATCATATACTTCATACATTTATTAAATTATATCCAATACATAAACTACGTCTTTTACGTTTATGTCATCAAAAACATACACTTTTACCATTGATTCTTGATTTACTCGATCATTCAACTGTTAATATTCTTCTTCTTATTCTTTCTAATTCAAAACAACGAACATGGTTTAAAAAATATCAAACACAAGAACTTGTACATAATCTTATTAGAAAATTATTTGAGCTCTATCAAAAAAAACAATGTTCAGGACATTCAATTTTAAAAATAACAGCAATTCTACATGTTTATTGTAATGTTAAGTAAGAGACGAATCGAAAAAATTCTCAATTGAATCTTTTTATTTTTATTTAGATTTTCATCGGATGAAATTCAACAATTACTTAATTTATTACTTTCATCAACAATTGATGTTACATTAGGTTTATGTTATATATTTATGATTCCTTCATTAGTTGAAAATAATGAAAAACGAATTATTGAATGGTTTACATCAACAATATCATCGACATCAACAGATGATAAATTATTAATGATTAGACTTTTTTGTATAACAAATTATAATGAAGTAAGAAAGAGAAAGATTTTTTTTCTTTATAAGAATTAAATAAATGTAATTTTAAGCCATTGAATGTACTTATATCATCAATACTGGATTTTCCTTGTCGAATTGATACTGGTTCATTTCATCAATCATGTCTTTCACTTATTCAACTTATATTTACAAATGATTTACTTGTTCAACGTTTTGCAACAATAAAAATTACACCAAATTTAAATTCAACTATTAAAACAAAACATATTCCAGCACATTTTATATGTTATCTTCTATCAAAAGGTCTTTGTAATGAACATCAAGTACAAATGAGTTCATGGGTATGGTCACAAATGCTTCAATGTAAAACACCAATTCATCCAATTATGTTAACACTTATTAATGAATTAGTAACAACAATAGTTGATTTACGTTATGCATGGCATTTAGCACCTATAGATACACAAATTATACGTGAATATTTATCATTATCATCATCAAATGATCATATACCAACAAAAATGCTTATTTTACTCTATTTACTTACATTAAATGATCGAGCAACTGGAAATATGATTAATCGATATCATCATTCATCGAAAATATTATTTGATCTTCTACCTTTACCCCACCTTGTCGAACAATTAACAACAAAAGATTATGATACAATAGCTCCACAACTTGGAAGGTAAATAATCCTAGTAATATCTGAGACACTCAGTATTTTATCCGATGGATGAGCATCGCTCACCCTAAATTTCGATTTATTCTTGAAATTATTTTTTAATACGTGAAAATTTTATATGTATCATTTCTTTCTTAACAGACTAATGATGGAACAATTACCACAAATATTTCTTGCTGATCATGCTCTTTATTTAGAAACAGGTTTGTTTTTCTGTGTGATATAAATCAATAAAATAGAAATATGTTTAAGATTCTCAATTAATTTCATTACATCATTCACATAAAATGGATACAATGGAACATTTATCTGATCAATTGAATAAAACACTTATCAATGGTATTTCACGTAAACAAGCTGATGAATGGCGTCGACGATGGTTTCGTGTCTATGCATTTCGTGGACAATTGTAAATACAAATTGAATTTTCTTTTTAAAAATTACATTCTTGTTTTTTTCTTCTTCAAATAGATTAACATTAAGAACAGCGCAGATATTACTAAATAATAATCAATTAACATATGATGATCTATGTGCTGATCCTCATTGTCTACTTCGTTTTTCATTCCAGCTATACAAGTAAAATAAATCTTTCATAATATATATATACACATATTAAATTCGTTCTTAAAGTTATCCATCCATCATACAAATTGTATTATTTATCATGAGAGAAGTACTTATTGCTAGTCGTCATCGTTTCGAACGTATTATTAAAGCAAAACCACCATCACAACAAACAGGTAGATTTATTTCTTTTTATTTCTATTGTTACTCTTTTTTATTATTCTAATAGATCTAATCTGTATACATGATGTTAAATCTAAACAATTACAAGAAACATTAATACATGCACAAGAAGCACTTGTTATACAAATTTTACTTGATGTTTTACATCAATATAAAAAAGTTTGATTACATTATAAATAATATTCTATATTTATTTCTATTATTCTAGACGGCATGTTTACCTGCTTATCGAGAATTGCAAGGTGTTATATGTTCATTTGTTCATCAAATGTTTATTACTAACCCTGTTCTTGCTAAACTTGTTCATTTTCAAGTAAATTCTTAACCAAAAAAAGCATCATATTTAACTATTACTATTATAATTGTATATTCTTATCATAGGGCTACCCATCAGATCAAATTAAACCTTTGATTTACAGTGTTCCATCAATGCATATTTGTTTAGATTTTATACCACAAATGTTAGCTACTAATGAATTAGAAACACAAGTATGTGAAATATATTATTATAATGAAATAGCGATATAAACAAAACTAATTGAGAAAGAGACATTACGCACAAACTTTTCATTACGATTTCCCGACATATAAAAACATACAAGATCCTCGGAATGACAAAAAAGGGTGTAGGTGTATAAGTCATTCTTCTCTCATACTACACACCCAACAATAAATAAAGCTTTATGCAATATCATTCTTAATTTTTTTTGATAATTTAGATATTCGCTTTTGAATTATTAACTGATCTCTCATCATTTTATCCAATTCGAACAGCTTTACTTGTTGTTAAACTTGCTTTACAAGTTTATGCCACTTTATTACGAGGTAAGGATAAATTCTTTTTATTTTTTTTCATAATAGTTTCCTATTTTTCTCATTCTAGTCTTATCAAATGATGATCGTCTTCGTTTTTTCTCACGTACATATAAATTTCTCACTCATATGAGTTCAATATTCCCACCATTAACCCAAAATTCAGTTTATGTTCTTCAACAAGCAATACGTACATGTTCTTTAGTATGTCTTTCTTTTTTTTTGTTTATTTACATATAAATTCGATATTTGATCTTAACAATTTAGGCTCCATCAAATCTACCACAATTAAAATGGACATCAGATTCTCTAGGTCGACCACGAAGGATTGATATTTAAAAAAGAAATAAAAATATTTGTAACTGTTAATATAGATAAAAAAAGAAGAAGGCAACACTTCAAAATAAAATTTCAAAATAAAAACAAATGTTAATAAATCTTTGTATGAAAATTTTATTTTCTTTATTTTATGTTGGAGTTGATTTCGATGATACAGTTAAACGTCGTTTATTATTTGATAATGGTGTAGCAGTTTGTAAACGACTATGTGCAGTTTTTATACGAGATGGTGTTTGACGATCACCAAGTGCTGATCGACGATTAACTTTATAGTGAAAACAAATTTTGTATAAAAAAACAAATTATTTATTCTATTAAAACATACCTGAAGATGCTGGCCGAGATTCAAGAACACGAAGTTGAACAGAAAGACTATTAAAATAGAATTTGTTTTTTGATAAGATATTAATATAATAGTTTTTATATACCTGTCTACTGGTAAACCTTGTGCTCGTTCACTTTCAAAATATGTAACAAATTCTGGTGACATACATGAACGTCTACCATATTCAATAATTTTATCATACAGTGCTGGAAATTAGAAAAAATGAATGAATTAGAAGACACATATATATAAGATCTTACTAGGATCACGTCGAACAAGATTATAAAGTTGACGAAATGCTGTTTTATTATATGTTAAAGCACCAATTGCTATAGCACAAGCACTATGCATTTCATCTTCATCACCTGCATCTTCACTAGTTTGTGGAAGTGATGGTGCATAAAGTTTGTCAATTAAACGTCCAAGAACTTCGCATGAGAGTAAACCATCACTTATACCCGTTCGAATACGAGCTAATGATGAAATGTATTTAGCTATAAACAAAAAGAAAACATTTTTTTAAAAAATATTATACAAAAGATGATTGTTAGGAATTTAAACATGTGTAGACTTCATAGGTCTAGTTTAGGAATGTACCAAACCCGAGCCTCTTGGTCTCAGGCTCTGTCAGGGCTCGAGGGTGGGTGTGGGTGTGAGTGCGAATGAGAAGGATAATATCCGCATCCACCACATCCATATCCTACAAAATAAGTTTTTCCCATAGAAATTCGAAAATGCTTGTCTATATCTGTCTCAAACAGACAGATGAATAGTTTTCATTTTAATCTCTTCTATGAATAGATAAACTTAAATCAATTCGTACCTATTTGTGTAACTAAAGCTGTATTAGTTTGTAATAAAAGTTCTGCAAGTTTCATAATAGCATGCGCTGTTAATGCTACTTGTTCATCTTCATTATCAGAAATAACTCGTGTAAGAATAATAACCTATGAATAATAAATAATTTTAAAAAAACGAAAATAAAATATTTCCATTTACTTGAAAACAAGCCATAGTTGAATGTAATGGATTTTGTGATTCAATAAATGGTCGAAATGACTCATAGAGTATAGCATTTGTTCGTTTTAAAGTCGATTGATTTTCTAAATTATTATAAGCAAATAAAGCTAACGCTAATAAAGCTCGTAATTTTAAATCAGGTTCAGTGATTTGAATAAATTTTACAATAAAATCATTAATATTAAAATTATTTGCTAAATGTTTTTGATTATCAGTATTATTTGATACTATTTTCGATAAACTTAAAATACATTCAACCTATTTTAACAAAAAAATCACTAAATATCAATCAAATTTAATTTTTGTTTACTTTAACATCAACATATTCTATTATATCTGATATAAGAATAATTACTGCCATAGCATCCTCTTCAACAATTGCATTTTGTAATAAAGTATTTGGTGTAAGTGCCGCACCTTTTTATATAGAGAAAAAAATTAATGAAATCAAACTTTTGTTTTTATAATATACCAGTACAAAGTACACCAAACAATCGAACAAGTACAAGTAAAACTCGATGTGATAATTGTTGATATTGTTTAAGTAAACGAAAAAGTGGTGTAAGAATATTTTCATTATATAATCGATTTTGATTAATTTCATCTTCATCAGTTAATGCAATAATTGCATTTAATGCAACATATTGTAATTTTTCCGATGGAGATAAAAGCATTGTTACAATTTGTGAAATACCAATACATTCAGCTACAGAACGTTGTTGCGTTTTTATTTGTCCACCAAGTGCCCATAATGAAAAAGCAGCTTGTTCACGAATTTCTAATGACCATTCACCAGAACTACGAACCTATATTCAAACAAAATTCAAATTATATAATCCTGTTTTTTTATATTACAAAACGAAGCAAAACAACAACACTTGAGTTTAGAAAAATAAAACATACATGTTATACAAAGTGCTGAAAAACTAAGTGAAAAACTTACAGTTGCACCAACATAATACATTTTCTGCAAAATATATGTAATAAATAGTTATCACTAGTCTTTTATATGTCATATTCACATATATGTGTATTAATAAGAATAGAAATACTTTTTATTTTACCTCCATTAATTCATTCAATGGTTTTTGTGCGTTAAGTTTTTTTGATAAAAATTCTCGTTGATTGTCGACATTATTCATTGCTAATGCTTCGATTGCTAATGATGCTTTATAACGTATACCAAATTCTCTATCTTGCATAAGATCTACAATACGTTTAAGTGCACCCATAGATGCTGCTAATGTTTGATTTGTTCGATTATCATATGTTATTGATGCTAATGCTGAAGCTACAGTTCCTTGTAAAACTTCTAATAAACAAAAAATAATTTTTTCGGAATTTGTCGTGTTTTATTTACTTGAATCAAGTAAAAGTAAATCAGTCAATTGTTTAATAATTCCACATTGAGCTAATTCATTTTGCATATATTGATTTTTACGACAAAGTAAATCAATTGCATTACAAGCATTTACAAGAACATCTTCAATAGGTGAATTAAGCATATTTGATAAAGCTGAAACTGCACCTGATTGAAGAAAACGTTCCTTCGAAATGAGATAAAGTTTTACGAAAAAAATCTAATTTTTAAGTATTGTTTACTTGATTTGATGGTATAAAACAAATATCAGCAACTAATATTGCTGTTTTTGAACGTATTTCATCATTATTTGATTTTAATAAATGTGAAAACATTTCATATAAATTTTCACTCGCTGTTGAAATTTCTTCTCGTACTTCTATATTTGTTGATATATTGCATAAAACAGATAATACTGATAATACTAAACTATTATCAGTCACGTTAAGTAATGCTATAAGTCGTCGAATACCACCTACAAAAAAAAAGAAAATTAAATTTGACAAAAGAAGAAGAAAAACACGAAACCTGTTTCTAATAATGGATACCAAAATTCTTCACCATGTGTTGTCATTTCATGTAAACATTGAACAACAGCTCGTTTCATTGATGAATCAGCATGATTTATTAAATCTTCGAATTAATAAATTTTTTTTTTCTGATTACAAAATTCAAAACCTACCAACAAGTACAGGCCATGTTGGTACAAGTTCGGAATTTAATTGAATAAAATATTCAATAATATTCGTATGTATATTATTAACAGCCACATGAATAACTGTATGTGAAGATGTATCTTTATATGCAAGATTTGCACCTAATGAAACTAAACATTTTACAGCATCTAATGCACCCGATGTTGCTGCTAATAGAAGTGGAGTTGTTTGAAAACTATTAATGAATACAAAATAAAAATTTCAATGTTATTTTATTTAATAATTTACCTGTCTTTAGTTGTTTGCTCAAGTAATTCAGAATATTTATTATAGAGAAGTCTTACAATCGGAACATGATCACAATAGGCAGCATGATGAATAGGTGACCATCCTAATATTAAATTAATAAATTTCATAATTGAATAAATTGAATAATTTTACCTTGATGATCAAATACAATAGCTGCCATATTACCTAATAAACAAGATGCAGCATCTAAACTTCCATGTCGACAAGCAGAATGTAGCGGTGTACCACCTAAAAATAAATTCCAATGAAAAATTTACATTTAATATTACTGATAATTTTTACCGATTGATGTATAATTTACTTCTGCTCTAGTGTTTATATCGATACCTACGAGAAGTAACATATCAATAATCATTGGGCGATTGTATATAGCCTAAAAATTGAAAGTAAAATATTTATTAAAATTTGAATAAATCATACAGCAATATGCATAAGTGTAAGACCATCACGATGATGTGGTTTACCCAATGCAGATGCTGGTGTTTTACGTATTAATGCTTGAAAAATACATGCAAGACCTCTTTGAGCAGATGCACGTAGACCATGTTCAGGATTCTGAATAAAAAAAATTATAGAATAACTTTATAGGAAAATAATTCAAATAAACCTTATAATTCGTTGCTTTTTTTCGTCCAAAATATTTTTTATATGTTTCATATATAACTGTTTCATTCAGAAATTTTTTTCTTGCCGCATCTTCTAATGGTCTTTGAATTACACGTAACCATATTGGATGTAAACCATAATACGGTTCAATATCAATAACCAAATGATAGAATCTATATAATAAGACACATATGCGGAACTATTCTTAATCAAGTATTTCAAAGCAATTTAATCATCAAGAATTCAAGGAGGCATAAGAAATACTTTACTTTTTTCCGTCAATTTCCACAATCGGTAAAAGATATTCTATGAGTGGTTGATTCGGGACATCTAAATATCCATATAAAGTTCGACGAGATGCATCAAGCATTGATGTATTTTTTCCATTAAATGCTCTAGAAAAGAAAATCTATTTCGAATCATTTATTTTTTATTAAGAAAAATTCTACCGAGAAAGTTTATCATTCAATGGACCTGTTTCATATTCAAATTGAATTCCACCATGTAAATGAAACATGGTTTCACTTTCAAATGGAAATACATTTGATGGGTCTTTTTTAAAATATATAAATGGTGGAAGTTCTCGTTCAGTACGAACTTCGTCACCTATGAAATACAAAACGAAAGAAAGAAGTAAATCATATTTATATAACTTACCAGTAATCATAGGTAAAAGTCGATTTAGATTTGGAATTTTTTTCATTCGACGTTTAAGTGCAACAAGTATAGTAAATAAAAAACAAGTAAGTTCAAGAAGATAAATATATCTTCGAACTTCCGTTTTTAATGGAAGTGTTTTCCTAATATATTTTTCATGAACTTGAAGTAATGCTTTTAAACGTTGAAATTGTTGATTATCTAATCTATTTAAATCAAAAGAAGATTATCATTATTTTTTTTGTTTCAATTTTACTTGTCTTGTGTTGCTTTTATTTGTGATTGTATTATATAATTTCCATTAAACATTAAACAATTTTTAAATTGAGATAACTTATCAAGATAAACTGTTAATACCATTGATAAATCATCAACATATGAAAGTAAAAATTCTTCATCAGATATTGTTTGTTCTTCAGATTTGACTTCAGGTTGAAAGAAATTTTTTGCTTCAGTATAATCAGAATCTTGATTTATTTCTTGTAAACCTTTTTAAAATGAATTTTGTTTTTATTAATTCATAAATTAAAATATTCGAAAATACCTGCTGCATCAAATTCATGTGTTATCGAACGTGTAGTTGAAGGTTCATTAAAATGACGCCAACGATCAGCAAATTTACCACGTTTTTCTCTTGGCATAAAAACACCATGCCAAACAGATTTAAGCCATGAATCACAATTAATCATTATTTGTCCAATACGTGTATCAATATAACCTAAGAACATTTTTCAAGAAAAGAATTTTTATCGTAATATATATATATATATATGATTACCAGTTGGCATTTGACATGTTGAACTTATATCAAAATTTGCTTCAAGACTTAATACTGGATGTGCATTAAGAGAATAGACACCAATAGTTAATTCTCGTATTAATTGATGAATTTCACGTGCATCTAAATGTGCGATACTATCATCAACTGGAAATAATATATCAACATGAGAATCATTAAACACTTGTAATTGTCTAATGAATCCATTTGGTAGTTCAGTTGGAGCCTATGAAAATGAATCAAATTAAAAAGAATAGACTACTGATAAAATATACTTTATAAATATCTCCATTTGTTAAAAACCAATGTGTATCACGTGTTGCTAATATTTCACACATTTCTAATTTATCATATTTCTCAAGAAAACCAAGTGCATTTTTGACAGCTATATCATCCATTGATTGTGAAAGAACTTGATCTGGTTTATTATCATCATTTGTTGATGCTGAATCAAGACGTGCTCGACTTGTACGTTTCGTTGATAATCGACGTGGAACATTTATTGATGTTGATAGTCGATGATTAGTTGGTATACCACCACCACCTTCCATTCTATGAGAAATTTGATCGTTACTTTTTAGTTTAAGAACTTTCTGTTGACTACACACACATTGAAAACTAACAATTCTTCTTTTTTTTTTCTTGTTCTTTTTCTTTTCAACTGTAACCAACTTGACTTCTTTCGTTCTGTGTTGAGCAGGAGTACCCTCTATACAATAATGGTGTTACAAAAAAAAAATAAAGAACGAACGCAGACCAATTGACTGCGTCGCTATTTTTCGATCTTTTAAACGCAGTATTAATAGATTATCTTCAAACATTTTTTTTTCGAAGTCTAATCTATTCTTAGTTGAATATTTATGGCCAATACTAATATTTCTTTAAATAAATATTGACAAATCTTATCAACTATTTTTATTATATAAAAAATATGAAATTCATATGGAGAATTAAATTGACAGATTTTTTACTATTGTCCAATTCTTATTTTTTTACAAAAATAAATTTTTTCAAGTACATCTTATGCATAAATTTACTGAAAAGTACATTAATTTTATGTGACAAAAATAAACTACTACAAGTGCATATGAGAAGATACAAAAATATTATTATTTCGAATATGTAATTTTATTAATGAAACATTTGAATTACTTCAAACATATGCTAGACTTTATTTTAACATTCGTGATTACATAACTATATACTAATTCATAGTACAAATCATCTTGTATGCCTTATATTTCATATGTACACGACATGTCTTGCGTATTATTTTTTTTCTTATTAATATTTATATCTAAATTTTATTTCAAATACTCATACATTCTCAGCTGAAGAAAGTGTTTTATAATATCGATTTACTATATATACATATATATTGAGAACATTGTTTAAATCGAACTAGAATGATATATACATATAGAGACGATAAGAAGACAACAACAATATTAGAATACTAAAAAATATTTTTGGACAATTATGTGTACTAACGAAAAAATAGAGATTATTTTGATTGCCTGATTTTTACAAAATGAAATGGAATCTGTTGAAATCTGTGTTTTCGTAATTGTATCCAAGGACGTATATAATGTCAAAATATTATTCTTTTTAATCCACATTCCTTATTGCTTCTGTGTTAATACAGATATATTTCTGTCTCTATATATTGACAATAAAAAATATCGTTTATATCACTACATATAATATCAAATATCGTTTTTACACTG